AAAAAAAAAAAAAAAAAAAAAATGGAAAATAGAAATTTCATGTACAAAAATTATTCCACAGAAAAACATCTTTATCATTTTTGTATCAAAATATTCATATATCAAATAAAATAATAATAATTTATCTTTCAAATACATTATTATTCAAACAATATTATAAGATAAAATAATAAAGTAAAATAAAAATTTTAAATACATATATTTCGATAAAACTCAATCTTGCATAGAAAAATAAATACAAATATATAAACAAAATAGTACAAATGAGAAAAACAATTCGAAGTTTCATATTTTTTTGTCTTTATCTCAAACAAATGCTTGAAGCGCGATTTTTTAAAAGATTTTTACGTTAAATAAATCAACGATAAATCTAATATATGTATATAGTTATATGTATATAGTTATATGTATATAGTATATTTTTTATTTCGTTGGACGTGTATCAGAGCGAAATAAAAAATAGTAAATATTTTCCTTCTCCAATGAGATAAGATTAAAGGAATGGTAGTGTGCATATATATACAATATATGTATACTTTACATCTCGCAGAGTATTATGATTTCTCAAGATAACGAACTGCTCGGGAAGCAAAACGAAAGCAATATTTAGATAGATTATAAGAAAATCACGTATGGACTATGAATACATGGAAATAAAACACATTTCAATTTAAAATTTTTTTTTTTAATTTCATTATCACAATATAAAGGTACAGTAAAAGATGGATAGTTATTTACGACGGTCTACTGTTCGGTAGTCAAACTAAGTTGGATAAGAATAAGGAAAGAATTCCTTTTGACACACCATGAAATGATGTTTATTTTAACTCTCAATCTTTTTTCTCTTTTATTAATTATTGTCTGACAAAATAGAAACAAATGTTGTATCAAAATTAAATTTCGATTCCATCACTGTATAAATGCTCGATTTAAATTTCGATTTTTAAGTGTAATTATCGAACTTTTATTTTAATTTTATAACGTACAAGTTATATTATGCGCATGCGCACTGTGGAATGAAAATATACAACTATTTTGAATTATTCAAACAAATCGGGAAAGGAGATTAGATAATATTCACATGATAATATTTTTATAATCATGTTATAATTTTATATATTCCAATAGGATTGATAAATAATTGATAAATAAATAAGTAATATAATAATTAATGTAAATAAATACTAATTGTTATCTACAATTATGTGTATGTGTTCTTATCGATAAGTATACAAAATATATTTGTAAAATAATAGATATGATAATAATACTTGAAAATTCAAAATTTTGTGATATTTAAAAAATTATTCTTTTTATTAAAAATATGTTTTTTCGACAATCATCGCTAGATACAATAAAAATATAAGAAATTTTTGAACATAAAAAATAATTATAGAAAGACAAAATCAAATAAATATAATGGATCAAAAATATATTTTTGAGCATTGTTAAATATTATTATTCTATTATATTTTCATAATAAGACATATACTTTAATCGTTATAATTTGTGTGATAGATATTATATTTATAATGGAACTTTATTTATCTAAACTTTATTTATGCACACTAATATTGACAAAATGTCCAATTTACCGAATTTATTGTTGAGTGTTATGCGAACTAATTGCTTGTAGTATATATATGCTTTATTCGAATTCATGACATTCATAAAAACAATTTAACATTTAATAGAACGATTTAATTAAATCGAGTATCTTAGTTTTTTAAATTCTTTAAATAATTAAAAAAAAACAATATTTATTAATATACAAATAAGTGAATATAGATCCAGTTATGTAAACTCCTATACGAACCAAGTGACAACAACGATAGTGAAGGGAAAAGTTAGTGGACTTCTATTATGCGAATGATCCAATTATCCGAATCATCTTGTTCTTGGGTTCGAATAAATGGAACTTTCTTATAGTATTTGTACGTTTCTTTATGTACAAAATTATTATGTTCAAAATTGATGTGACAAAGAATATGAACACATAACCTATAAAGTAATACAAATAATTAGATAAATTCAGAAAAAAGTAAAAAAAAAATTTTTTTTATTTTTCAAATATACATAATAAATAAGTAAATTATGATTGATTTTTTATTATAATTCACTTTATTATGGATATCATTTTTAATGATTAATATACAATTATATTATTATATATATTATATATTAATAATATTTTTTGCTAAATTTTACTTCGGATATGTATTTAATAACACTTAAAATTTAGTTTTTTAAATTTTATAAGTAATTTTAAAGTTTATACAATATTTATGCATTATGGGATTATTATATACTAATAATTCTATAAACATAAAAAGATAAAAACAATAATAAAAGTTAAACTTAAAGTTAAAAACATTTATGAGAACTCTTATGGAAAAACTCTAAATGGAAAAATATTAACTGTGAAATATTAGCTATGAATAAAATTTTAATGGATATTAAAATTAATAAAATCATTTTTAAAAACACATAAATATATTAATAAAAAGAAAATTTAATTATTTTTTATCATTATTGCTAAAATATTAAAAACATTATTGGTATTTAATTATTTTCTAATGCAATACAAAATAAATACATAAAATTTAATAATAAATATTTAATAATAATTAGTAATAAATGAAATTTAATGGAATGTTTATTTTAAAAAATTGTTATATAAAAATATTTTTTATAATTTAATTGTTGAAAAATCACGTTTGTGAATTTGGACGAAAAAATCATTTGGCTGCTAAAAAAGACATAAAACTTATCTTTGCTATTCATAAATTATGTTAGACACATATGTCTAACAACTTTCTTTAATAGTATCGTAAACAAGTCATAGAATAGCAATTATCGAATGATTAGTTGTTTAGACGTTTAGATCTTCTTGACTTTTGAAATCCTTTCTTTGCTGGTTACCTTTTATACATTGGAATTTAACTTGGTGCTTTTAATCAATTAAATATTAAAGGTTATGGTTGCCATAACCTTGTTATGAAAATATCTATATACAAATTCATATAATGAGCATCATTATTAAGATTATACATGTGCCCATTGTAGTGTGTGAGATGAAACAAACATTGAATCTTTATATATATGTAAAATCAAGATAAGATAGAAAAAGAAATTTTTTATTGAATAATAGTTTTTTTATTTTATTTTTCTAAAAGAAAAGAAAATATGAAAAAATAATAATAATTATGTTTTGATGTTATATACAAGATTTTATTCCAAATGTTAAAATTATTTTATAAAAAAATCTATAATAATTTTCACTTAACTTGACACAAATCAGTTTAAATCAAATTATTTCAAATATTAAAAATATGATTATAAAGTTAAATATATCTATATTAATATTCTCATTTTATTTATTAATAACTTTTTAAGAAATAATAAATAATAATTAAAATCTCTAGAATATGATTCAAGAGACAATGTATATTAAGATTATTGATCTGCGTTTTATTTTTTCAATATACACATAATTATTATGTAATAAATATAAAT